CTTTTCACTGGTTACGTCCATACCAAAATCTTGTTCCCATTAATCATTTCAAGTCAGTATGTTTATAGTGTCTGTGAAGCGATGTGTTGATATTTTTCAAATAGTTTTCAAATTCAGAATCACATAACAGAAATAAGAGAGCTGGGTTGTAAAGTGTTCTCTCTAAAAGAAACGGAAAACAGAGTGTTGGCAGAACAAAACTCCATTACTGTGAGGAGCCTTACTTGTGGCAAAGCTGTTGGGCCAAACACGATGTTGGGATGGAGCTGTTGGACATGAAATATTTATGACATAGGACATATATTTTGATAGCATGGTGTGCTGCTGGATTTGTGCTGAGGTTGACAGTAACACATAGAAGTGGGAAGAAGCAGTGTGATGCTGATATATATTTATTCACAGTGGGTGCAAACGAGCACCATTTAATTCAAATAGTTTGAAGTGAACGGTAGCAGCTGGGGGATTCAAGCAATCACAAGGTCAAGATCTGACATGAGTGTTGCATTACACCCAAGCACCGCAGGATGTTTTGATATATTTATGGAATATGATATGATAAATTCAATCAGTCACGCAGGTTTGTTGTTACCAGTCATGGGTGTGTTAGGATAATGATGAACAAATGAAAAAATCTGAACAAAAACATTTTATTGAGAATGGTGTCAGGTTGCACAGATCATATGTATATATTAACAAATAAAGAAATTAATATGAAGATAAATTGAACATAATATTAGCTCAGGTAGGACATGATGTCAAGCTCAGCTCACATCCCACCTACATCAGCTGGTCTCAGACAGCCCAGTCAACTGATGGAGCAGCTGATTGATAGAATGGAGTCAACTGATAGATCACATGATTCCTTTTTATGCAACCAATTGGCATATCACATTCAGGGCGCCCTATTTAAACTGCTTTGTCCTGCCTACTGTTGCTGCTTCCTCTGCAAGCTGCTTTGCAACCCGCCTCCACCCCAGCTCCTCCTTTTCATGCTGTGCCTGACTTATCAGTGTTATTTCTGTTTGTCATTGATGCTGCTCTGTTCTGTTCCCAGAGGGTCTTTGCTGCTGCTCTCTATGCCTTAGGCTTTCCATGTAGGCACATGGAAGGGCAGAGAGGTGTGCTTTCTCTGCCTTTGGCTTTTCTCATTTGCATGTGGAAGGGCAGAGAGGTGTTCTCTCTCTGCCTTAGGCTTTCCATGTAGGTATATGGAAGGGCAGGGAGGTTTGCTCTTTCTGCTTCTGGCTTTCCTTATTTGCACGTGGAAGGGCAGAGAGGTGTGCTCTCCCTGCCTTATGAGGCTTTCTCTGCCGTAGTTCTTTTTTGCTGCCGTCGTGCGCGCATTCCACCGCCCCATCACCACCTAGTTTTACCGGATTCATCAGCCTCATACGCCTCAGAGTCAGCAGCCACCACCACCACCAGTGTCTGGATTCCATTTGGGGATTTATCCTGCTGCCACTCACAAGTCCCTCGATCACAAAATATCTCCCTCTGGTGTCCAAGCGCCAAAGACTTCTGTTAAATCTTAATCAGCACAAATCATCAGTCAATTTGTACACTCATATTCTGTATTTAATATTATCTGTACTTCACTCTCCTGTCTCTCCAGATTGAAATGGCTTTCCACGCAGCCGCATGGAAGGGCAGAGAGGTGGGCTCTCTTCACCTCATGCTCTCCACCTCAGGAGCAGTGACAACACCAATCAGCCACATATTCACATTAAAGATGTTTTTACCCTTCCACAACATCAGCAAGCATTTCTTCACTGACATAGGGAAAAAGTTGATACAAAACAGCAAAGTGAACCCCCAATTCAAACAAACTTTACTTCTTTCAAATGATGGTAGGATGTTTTCAGTAAATATATGTGTTTCCTCAGATACCTGAAACATTTGTACCCGTTTAAAAGGAACAAAGAGCGAGGGAGCCCTTTGGCCACACAGCTAATAGGAAGCACATTGCTCTTTTTGGAGATTCAGTGTAAGACTCCGGTATTTTGTGAGACAGTCTGCAAACAGCCGAGAAGAGGAACACTGGGTTGTAGACTTACACAATAAGGTAATTTCCACTGTAGGGACACTTAAGTAGTCACACCTGTAAGTGTTGAAATATCTCCATACAGCCTGAAGAGAAATCTGTGTAGCACCACAGTCTTTTGGGTTTAACCACATGATTTGAAACACCAGCACATAATTTATCTTTATTTTAATCCATATTTTCAATTTCAAAGAGATTTTGTGTCACCGTTTTAATTGCCTACTCTGTACACTTGTAGTAAGTGGTTTACAGCACAGAGCACCTGAGAGCTCTCTGTCGCTCTCTCCAGTAAGTGAGCTCACCCTGAAATAATAGTTCAGTTCAACAAGATGTTCTACAACACTGTGAGACATGAATGAAGTGTAGGCACCGGCCACTCAGCACAGTCATTATCAGCATTTCAAGTATCTTTTTTTTTTTCTAATCAAGCGAGCTAACATGTGAAAGAAGGATGAATGAATGAACTGAAAAAGACTGTTGAGATTTTCTGTATTGGCTCCTTGAACCACAATGAACTCTGCACCTCTTCACTTAAACTTTAATATTTTAAAGACTTGTATAAACTGTGACACAAAACACTGAACTCCACCACCGCTGCTGCTGCTGCTGCTGCTGCTGCATATGTATATACACACTCTGTGAGTCACAGCTCCACGCGTTACGAATCCCAATTTCACCCATGCATGTAAGTAATGGCTTCATAATGACAGTAAATACAGGGGGCAGAGGGGGGACGTCCTGTCTAATTTCACCCTGAGGTTGGAAGACAGATAAGATGTACTCTGTGGAAGCGGACTGACTGTGTGTTTGTGTGTGAACCACAGAAACATCCCAAGTTTAGATCTGTGCTGAAAACACTGCAGTAGTCAAATGTGTGTGGACACACAAACATTAGGCCCCTGAACACCTCATCCCAAAATCACTGGCTTTAATATGCTGCTAAACAGAGGGCAAGTCACTCTTTGGCAAGTCACAAGTAAGTCTCAAGTCTTTTCACTCACGTCCCAAGTCAAGACTGACAAGTCCTGAGTCAAGTCTTGCAGTCAAGATTTACAAGTCCTGAGTCAAGTCCTAAGTCAAGACATACAGGTCTTGCGTCAAGTGCCAAGTCAAGACTGACAAGTCTTGAGTCAAGTCAAGACAAGACAGACAAGTCCTGAGTCATATTCTACGTCAAAACTTACAAGTCCTGGGTCAAGTGCCAAGTCAAGACAGACAAGTCCTGAGTCATATTCCATGTCAAAACTTACAAGTCCTGGGTCAAGTTCCAGGTCAGCACTGACAAGTCCTGAGTCAAATCCCAAGTCAAGACTGACAAGTCCTGAGTCAGGTTCCAGGCCAGGACAGGTAAGTCCTGAGTCAAGTTCCAGGTCAGCACTGACAAGTCCTGAGTCAAGTCCCAAGTCAAGACTGACAAGTCCTGAGTCAAGTCCTGAGTCAAGACTTACAAGTCCTGAGTCATATTCCACGTCAAAACTTACAAGTCCTGGGTCAAGTGCCAAGTCAAGACAGACAAGTCCTGAGTCATATTCCATGTCAAAACTTACAAGTCCTGAGTCAAGTTCCAGGTCAGCACTGACAAGTCCTGAGTCAAATCCCAAGTCAAGACTGACAAGTCCTAAGTCAAGACATACAAGTCTTGGGTCAAGTGTCAAGTCAAGACTGACAAGTCCTGAGTCATATTCTACGTCAAAACTTACAAGTCCTGGGTCAAGTGCCAAGTCAAGACTGACAAGTCCTGAGTCAGGTTCCAGGCCAAGACAGGTAAGTCCTGAATCAAGTTCCAGGTCAGCACTGACAAGTCCTGAGTCAAGTCCAAAGTCAAGACTGACAAGTCCTGAGTCAAGTCCCAAGTCAAGACTGACAAGTCCTGAGTCAAGTCCCAAGTCAAGACAGACAAGTCCTGAGTCTTCATGATTCTTTCCTGCAGCTTGATTGGATGCTGTCAGATTGGTTGAAACAAATTGGATCTGGAGGATTCAGTATCAACATTCTGGGAATAAATACTGTTAATGTTAGTTGATTCAGGAAATGAAGGGAACCGAACTGATTCTTGGTATACATTGTAGATAATAATCATTGGGCTTGGTGGAAGGTATCAAGCGCTTTTGATTTAAAACGCTCAAGTCCAGGTCAGGTCATGAGTCACTGGTCTTAAAGTCCAAGTCGAGCTGCAAGTCTTTTTTGTTTTTTTTTCTAAAGCCATCAAATTTGTGACTCAAGTCTGACTGTCACAGCTTCCACATGCCTAAAAAAAGGTTTTCCACAAGACTTTTGGAACCTGGTCACAGTGATTTGTTCCCATTCAGCCATAAGAGTCACAGTCTGTGTTCAACTTCATCCCAAAGGTGCTGGATGGGGTTAAGATCGGTCAAGTTCTTCCACAACACGAAGAGAAGAGAAGAGAAGAGAAGAGAAGAGAAGAGAAGAGAAGAGAAGAGAAGAGCATTTCTTTGTGGATCTAACTTTAACCCAGACTGTTTCTATAAAGTTGTAATATATAATAATACACCATCATATATGTATTTATTATATTTTGTATTAATAATCTGATCTGTTAAGTAACTGTTAAATAAATGTAGTGCAGTAAAAAGATGTAGCAGGGCAGAAAAATAAAGTATCAGAAAATGGAAATACTTGAGTAAAGTACAAATACATCAAATTGTGAAGTACGTCACTTCAGTAAATGTAGTCAGATGCTTTCTATCGATGGGAATAAGGGCTTATTCTATGAATATTTTGACTAAGAAGAAGTCTAAGAAGTCTAGCGACTGAGAGTACTGTCAGTTCCCAGAACAGAAGTACACAGTACATTAGGGGAGTCTGCATGCTGCCAGATACTGAAGATTGATATGGAATTGTGAATGAAATGCTGTTACTGCCACCTACTGGAGAGCTGTGCAACTTTCCTGTCTTATGTTCCTGCAGCAGAAAGCAGAATACATTAAGCAATACCAAGCCAGAGTATGTACATTTTATTCTGTAAGAATACATTTACGTTAATGTATTTATAAAACGCTGTGTCTGTGAATGTATTTTTACATTTGCACATAATTTACTGGCTTACAAGTCTTGATGAGGTCCATGCACAACATGACAGACATTACATTCGGTATTCAGGTGTTTTAATCACAGATGACTAACATATGGTGACAACATCTATTGGACAGTAGTGTTTTCACTGAGAGTCAGGCAAACTGTCTCTCTTATGCACACTTCTCATGTGCCTGCCAAGAGACTCCATCCACTTGAAGGATTTGCCACAGTAATTACAGACAAAGTGTTTCCCTTCAGTGTGTATAGTCTGGTGTCTGTTCAGAGCGCTGGTTGTGATAAAAGTCTTCCTGCATATCTCACATCTGTAAGGCCTCTCCCCTGTGTGTGTCCTGATGTGAGCAGCCAGGTGGGAGCAGTTACTGAAACGCTTCTCGCACACAGAGCAGCAGTAGGGTTTGTCCTTGCTCTCCTCGCCGTGGTTGTTGTGGTAAGGGTGGAAGTGTAAGGTGGGGTCCTGCAGACTGTTTTTCAGGCTGGAAGGAGACGAGATGAAGTCTTTGATATCTGACTCGAGGCTTTCGAGCTGCTCTGCATTGTGAGCCATCCAGAAGTCCCTGTGGCTCTTCAGCTGCTGCTCCTTCTTCACCTCTGAGGGCTCTGGGTGCTCCTGCTCCATGCTGCTGCCCTCATCCTCCTCCTCACAGTGATGGGACTCAGGAGGCTCCACTGCAGGGACAGACTGGTGGTGCTGAGGAGGAGGAGGAGGGTGGTGGTGGTGATGGGTGAGCTGCTGCATCTGAGCTCCGAGGCTTCTGTCCAACAAAGGCTCTGGATGGAAGACAAATAATAACACTACAGTCGTGCTACTTATCTCACAAATAACGCAAAGCTGCCTGAGGTTATGATGCATTCAGGTTCCATTCAAACCAACCTGATTTGAGAAGCTTCAGCTGCATCCTCAGACGACTGATTTCTAAATCTTTTGAGCGAGATATCTCCTCTTTGTACTCGGCTATTGTCTTCTCCACAGCTCCAAATATTTCCTCCGCCGCAGCTGTCAGTCTCTCGCTGAGGAAAGCTTTCAGTGACTGCATCTTCTGACGTTTAGAAAGAAAATTAACAGCTTTCGGTTGCGCTGGGAGACGTATTGTACGAGTCAATGAACGTCACGCTTCGCTTGTAAACACGGACATGAGACTGAGCCACGCAAAGCGGTCAATGTGGCTCACTACCGCCCCCTGCTGGACCGGGGTGCAAAGGTAGGACACCAGGCTGCAGAGGAGGGCATGGACAAAATATAAAGAACACCTTATGACATCATGCACATGACAGAGCTGGAAGAAATACTCAGATGCTGCTACAGATGCTGAAATTGCAGTGCAGGAGCAGCTCCAAAAATGTGTCAGGTTTCCTTTAAAAGTAAAAGAACATAGATACTTATCATAAAACATAAGAAGAGTTGCTAAGGACAAAAACCAATAAATAAATAAATAAATAAATAAATAAATACATTAAATAAAATATAATGAATATTTTCCTTATACAGAGAGGATGTACTACAACTAAACCTCAGGGACATTTTGACTTACAAACATATGTTAATAAACACACCAATGGATCGGAAATTATCAAAGTTGGGAAAGAAAAACAAGATGTTCAGCATCAACCCCCACCTCTGTATGGTTGTCAATTTTTTGTCATTTATATGAATATGAAAGACAATTTAACAAAATCAGTATACAAGTTTAAGTTAAAGTTGGTCCAGGATAATTTGCAAATCCAGAGAGGGCAGAATGTCAATAAGGGGACCCCATTTTGTTGCTACTTTAAAGGGAAATTTCCTCATTTTATGACGGGAAGCATACAGTCTTAGCATTCAGTCTCTTGTTGAATTGAATTACATCATAATCGATAAGTATTCTTGTTATTCTATCTTTCCTACTGTACACACTGTACAGCCCTGGGGTCACTGCAAGTGTGTCAGTCTTGTGGTAAAGACACCGGTGCAAGTAAATGTTTGGTTAACGCTCAGTGTTTGCTGACATGCAGATTGTGAAGGAAATCCAACATGAATTTTTTTAACCCCAACCTGAGCTGAACTTAACTGCTCCAGAGAGTGGCAGATGCTTTGGTCTGGGTCCAGTACAGTTAAAGTGTGTGTATCAGAGAGTGATAAATACTGTAGTAAGTGTTAGGGGACATGTTCTCTGTGCTTCTCCAGGAGGTAGTATTGGACCCCTCTACTTTTACAGTCCAAGCCATTAAATCAGAAACAGGAAGTTGGAGTGCTGTTTGTGTCTTGTAAGTTGCAGGAAATTTCATTGAAATGAATGGGGAGTATGGAAATGAGAATAACTTGAAAACTACATTTTAAAAATCTGTATAAACTCTTTAAACAAGCTAACAGTATCTATTATAGAAGCTTGGTGTGTCTCGTTTAAACAGTATAAGAGGAGATGCATTTTAATAGGTTCAATTGAATTAAAATTTAATTTTTGACATATCTCCAAAAGTATAAGACATAAACATAGAAAGTTTATTTTTACATACTTTGGTACATATTAACATCAAAAATGCATTTTATTCCCCACTTTACACATTTTGCTTTATTGGACAACCTTTATTGTTTTTGTGCAAAGTTTGTTAATCAATTTGAGGGCCTGAAATTTGCCAACATCATATGTTACTTTAAGTCAGGGTTTGTTTGTTTTTAATTTCTGTGCCCAAGGCAACTAAAGGACATGCCAAAATCTCAAGGCATACCTGTATTTATGTCTGTGCACAATAACCTCTACAGTATAACGTGTGTTACCACTCTAATCATGTTATAAATGTTTATTTTTATTCACTAATATTAAATAAAAATTGACAACCAATTCAAAAATTCATATTAAACTTTTTATTAAACTTACATCAAAGCACCAATATACATCTGTTTAAATCAGAAATAATGTAAGATAATGTAATGTGTCACACACTTAAAATTCCCACGTGAACAGCGAGTACCCTGTGAAGGTTTTTTTTTTTAATTAAATGTAATAAGATAGCATTTTTAAAGTACAGTTTGCCTCTAATAAAAAATGGGTGTGCACAACATACCGATACAGTCAATTAAAAATTAATTCATAACTTTTTGTACAGGCCCAGTTGAATATTGCAGTAGTAATGTGTGCTTATCACAAAATCGCACGGCACACATTTGAGAATCACTGCTTTAAGTAATATATTACCTTAAATAAAAGTAGCTTTCTTTTAAAAAGGTGTCTGTGAAATTTTATACATTCAAAGAACTTTTATTTAAAAAAAAAAAAAAAAAACTAACTGCTTGGCAACCATTGAACCATTGAGACAGACCTTTAATTGTCAAAACGTGTAGCCACACTGGGCTTGTTAAAAGGGACTGAGCATTTAATTGGGACTAGGTAACTGAAGTTTTATGGTAGATCAAATTCATCATTCTTTACCATATAAATTATTCTTGTTGCAACCATCCATTTCATGAAGGAGGCATGTCAAATATGACTAAACATGGCTGTGCTTTGTTCGACCTTGGATAAGGGTATCTGGAAAGCTAAAGCCCTTTAAGGATTTGTGCCTGTACTCATGATGTGGTGACTAAAATACTCTGTGTGCTTTGGGATGTATTTTACAGCCTATTAAACATTAGTTTCTGTACACAAGTTTGCAATTGGAAAAGCTACAATTTCATCTCGGTACATGAGTCTACCTCTGCTGTGTGTCAGTTTTCGTTCAGCGCCAGGATAAAAATAGCAGGCCGATGCTTCTCTGTATGGCATTGTCTTGACAGGAGTTCACTTCTGTAATGAGATACTCTCCCTGCCATCCTGAGAATACCACTGGGATTACCATCGCCTGTATATGCACACACAGCAGGTTATGAAACCTTTTGGTATATACAGGAATATGGGAGAGTTTTTCTGGTAAGTCATGGGATAAACCTCATCAAGAAGACAAGATACAACACACCAAATCAGCTTCTAAACCATTTATTATAATGTTTCCTTACAGCCTTCCCACCCTTCTGCTCATCGGCCATGACACAATATGGATAACACGTAATGGATGCTCCCCTCTCGGCACAACAGTGAGAGCAGAGAGCAGATCATGCACGTCTACAGGGAGGTAAAAGCCACAGAACATCATAATTACACGAAAGAGACATCGATATTAAAAAGACAAATAAATCTGATTGACAAAGAGCTGTGACACTGTTTACACACAAAAAGTTGGTAAACTTTTCAAGTAAAGGCGTGGACCGGCCGTCCACTTCAAGGTGTAAATGTCCGTCTTTACAGCTTGAGCACTTGGTGTGGAAGTTAGTATGCACACAGACTATTCTCAGTGGACTTAACTCTTTTCAGTGCGGTACAGTGCATGTGTCAACCTGTCCCTTTTCTTCGTGATGAAATATACCCAAACAATGTAAAGGAAAAGGAGGGAATGACATCATTACACAAATACTTTTGAATAAAAAGGGGAAGAGGACTAAGTGCTGAGAGTGAGGGATGATGGAACTGATCGTCTGAATGGAGCTGGCCTCTGATCTGGACGTAGTCACATTGCAGCTGCCCAGGGTTTTATGCCTTGGCGTTGATGATTTCAACAAACTCTGGCTTCAGGGAGGCTCCGCCCACAAGGAAACCGTCAACGTCCTTCTGGGAAGCGAGCTCTTTGCAGGTACCACCAGTCACAGAGCCTGAGAAGAAGAACAGATTCATGAGACTGATGTGGGAAATGGAAAATGAGAATAAAATGACAAACACCATCTTGACTGACCTCCGTAGATGATCCTCACAGAGTTAGCTACAGCCTCAGACACGTTGACCTTCAGCCACTCCCTCAGTTTCTCATGAACTTCCTGAGCCTGACATATCACACAGGAGACACACACATTATGACGAGTCACGGGAAGAGATTGCAGTTATCATTTTCTGTGGTTACTGATATTTACCTGCTGTGGGGAGGCAGTCTTGCCGGTGCCAATGGCCCACACAGGCTCATACGCAAGCACGACCTTGCTCCAGTCCTTTACATTGTCTGTGAAAGAGACGTGTGATAAGACTTGAATTTCTATTTCGCAAGTTGTTTTAACCCAGCTTGCACAAACTCTCACTGAAATGTGTGTTACAACATTTACACTCTCTCCTGTGCACATAAAACTGTACAGTAGGATAGTCGGGGAGGTGTGTACCTGCGATGACCTTGGTCTGAGCGTGGACGACCTTATCGGTGATGCCGCCCTCCCTCTCGTCCAGCTTCTCACCGATGCAGGCGATGACACCGAGACCACTCTCCAGAGCGTGGGCTGTCTTCTGACCAATGAGCTAACACAACACACACAAGCACTGTATCACAATGTGTACACAGGAGGTACAGTGCGTTTCCTGTGGATCTTACAAGATGCAGCTCTTTCCATTTAGCGCTCAGCATCATAAGAGACAACGATAAAGCTGGGGCCAAGCAAGGTTATTATGATTAACTCAAACTACAAACTAAAACTAGGTGTGAACAAAAACATTTTAGCTAACTGAAATGAAAAAAAACTAACTACATTAATATTACATACTTGCAAAACTGACTAACATAAAATAAAATGTACAAGAAATTTAGTTTTAGTCTTTCTAAATCTGGTCAAATTTGTCAACCTAACAAACATGAAGAGGCACTAGTGTCTGTGTTTATTGGGACTGGGATTTATACACGACTGAGTCAAATGCCTTCTAAGAGTGTCGTATTTGTATTGCAATACATATTCTGAACCTTTTACATCTTACTCCTGACAAATACACATCCATATTACGATAGAAAAATATTAAAGTGATACTGAAACTAATAAAAACTGTGTCAAATCTAGGGGCACCCAGTTGCTCAGGAAGTAGGGCTCATGCCCTATGTACAAGGGCAGTGTCCTGTGGCCCTTTGCTGCATGTCGTCCCCTCTATCCCTCCCCCTTTCACGCAAAATTATCCTGTCATTAAAGGCAAAAAAGCCCCAGAAAATAATCTTTAAAAAAAACTAAACTAAAACTGAACTGAAATGAGCAAACCGACTCTTGAAACTAACCGAAAATAAAAAAAGAAAAGAAAAATACAAATCTATAATTAACTCTGATGCAAAGTGAAAGAATAGGATAAAATCATCCGTAATTACC